TAATACATGTAACCTAAAGGCTCGATTAAAGATTAAAGTAGCTGAAAATCTAAATTTTTCAAACTTTTCTTGCTGTTTCCATGGCAACCAAGACACATAGCAACAAAATCTTATTTACTAAATATGCACGCGTGGCAAAGAAGCTCAAGAGGTTACAGAGAATAGCTATGAAAATTGCTGGAAATGTGTCTTTAAAATGAAAATCCAGGAAATGTAATGCTACGTTTACACTATGTTCCCGGCAGCCACGGCAGCCCCGTTTGCCCGAAACGTAGTGCGCCGTGAGATTTTGGTTATTTTTTACATCCAAGTCTTGACAAGTTCTTTTGCGGTCTTCTACGGAATCCGTGATGGGCCGTAGGAAGAAGTTTCCATGGAGTGCCGGAGGCTCCACGGCGCACTACGGTTCTGCCACATATGCCAGCACGTTCCCCCCAGGACTCTTACGTTCTGATAGGTCCCCTCTCGTTTCTCGCGTTCTTATGAAGTTCTTATACGTTTCTCACGTTCTGTCAAGTCTTTCTACGCATGAAACATGGACGCCGGGAAACTATGGATCAAGTTTGTACCAGAGAAGGTCTCCTAACCAGAAACAATCATTGTATCATGACCCTTCGAAGATAAAACATCATGAATTCCCAAGACGAAGATTCTATTTTCGCGTGTTTGCTGGGTGCATACCTAAAATCACTTCGTCAAAATGAAGAGAACCAGCAGCAGTTACAGAGAGGGAAGGCAGGAGTGCAGCAACTAGGAATGAGACGAATAAGACGGATGAGAAGGCGGAGATCCATATGGATCCATAATGAAACTTCTCTGCAGTGCCCGGATTTTATATGCTTCCTCTCAGACCGCGTGCGCCGTGTCAGACCGTAGTAGAACGCAACGCACCGGGACCATAAACCGTAACATGCCGTGACGAACCGCGATTGAACGCGAGGAAACGGCTACCATACACCCTAGTTTGCCGTGAGGACCGTGATGAAACGTGGCAGAACGTGATAAAACGGACAACAACCGTGAACTAGCCGTGACAGAACGCGGACTAAACTCAGCAAAACGTCTCAAAACGTGAATGGACCGTGAGATGAATGGAAATATACATTCTCCCGTCCCACTGCGGACTGCCTCCAAGTTCTGTTACGGTCTATTACGTGCTGTCGCGTTTTGTTGCGTTTATTCCGTTTTACTACGACTTACTAAGTTTCACATCTGCAACGTGGCCGCCGTGGCAAATTTTTTGACAGTTTAAAAATCTGGCACGGCATCCACGGCAATCGCGATGAGTTACGTTTGACCATCCCGTTGCCCCAAGTTTTCTCACGCCCGTCCCGTTTTTTCCACGGTGGCCTGAAACGTGATTGCCGTGGCTGCCGGGAACATAGTGTAAACGTAGCATAAACCAATTTAGGTAAGAAACAAAATGCTTTACCAAACATTACCGTACAAAGGGCTATAACTCTAAGTAAATAATGACACAAAAGTTCCATTTGCACATCATATAATTTCATAAGTGACAATTTTGATAATAAATCAAATTTATTTAGTCATAGATAAGAAATCAAATCTATTTAGTCATAGAAAACAGTATGAAACAGCAAGTACAATTTGGTTCTAAATTAATAATTATCAATCAACATTTTACTACACGTGGGTCAATGAGGCTTTAGATTATGATGATTGATTTGTTATTGTCATAATTTTTGGAATATATTCCATGTTTCTCAATGTATGGGAGAAAATGTCTGATTGTCAATATTCATGGGTTTTATCCATTTGAACAAATTTATGGAAGAAAAATCCAATGTAAGTAAATATCCCATACGACATTTTTTTTCTCCCATGGGAGAATGGTGGGATAGTTGGTGGGACTGAAAATCCCATCATTCTCCATGGGATCTTAATTTTAGGACTTCATGCCTTTAGAGGAGGAGATGTTTGTAAGTTCATCATAAGACTGGAATACTGCAAAGAAATCCCAGTGATATCAAAATATTATGAATATCACAATTAGAAATGGTAGTAAAATTCTGGACAATGTCGTGTTTGGGGTTAAAATATCGTACTGTTTTTAGTTTATAGTTCAAACCAAAAAATTAAAGGTTATGGGCAAGGATTAAGTTTTTACAAACAAACAGACAGACAGAGAGGTCAAAAACTATATATTCCCGAATCTTCGATAACAGGGGCATAACTATACTATGTTACATTGGCTGCAACGTTATTGTTGACAAACCAATCGTGTTAAATCGTGCGTGTAACGTGCGTGATCGTTCGTGTAACGTGGGAGATCGTGCGCGTTTCAGACTCAATCGTTTGCTGTTTAAATCATAAATAATTGATTGTGCGTGAAGAAACACATAAATTTCGTTTTGTAATTTTTTATCGGAATGTTATTTGTCAAACAAGCATATAATTACATTCTTTTTTTTTAATCCAAATGAAATAAATGAAGCACGAGTGAAGCTGCTAAAGGTGTTCAAGATATTTATCTATATTTTTATATATTAATAATTAATTTTCGGCGAATATACATGATTATCGGGTTTCTTTTATCAGAGTGTTTATCTCTAACAAATCTTACTTAATTTTTATAGTTTCTGCAAATGAATGATTTGTAAAATATAACTGATTTCAAAGATTTTAAAATGGAAAGTTGAATATATTCGTTTAAAATTCATTTTTATGTCATTTTCAATCTCTCCCTTACTGTATATTATGAAATCCAATAGAATCAAAACTCACGGCCCATCTACTGTACATCTTTATCATGTAGATAGAACTGAAAGAAAAAAATCCTGAGTTGGAAATTACATAATTATTTGAAATCTAAATTAATAAATCTGCAATGTATTTAGTTTTGTTTTTTTTAATCATTTTTGATATTTTTTTTAATTTCTCAAAGTCGATGAAATAATATCAAAAATCATTTGAAATCTAAAAAAAATATTATCAAAGCTTTGCGATACTTCGTTTTATAAATTATCCATTCCTAAATATTTTGAACTATTTTGTGTAAATAATTGTGCGCTTGCGTTAGCAATCGTGAAAGATCGTGTAACGTGCGGAATCGTTCGTCGTGTTAAGTTGTCAATGTCAACAACAACGTTGAAGCCACTGTATCAGAAAACCAAAATTAATTCATTTTGAAGTTTTGAAATACAATAAAAACAATATTATGTTTCATTAAATTAAACGTCAAATATGATTTGTAACCAAAATGTGACTTTTGTTACATGTACTTGTACCTAAATCTATGTAATGTATATTGTAGTATATAGTATTGTTGTTTAAATATAAATGTTTTCTATGATATGCACTTTTTATATTTCATTTTTTATCAATTTTTTTAGATCTTAAAAATTAGATACCCTTGTTGCAAGTTTTGGGCTGCGTAATAAGAGTGTTACACAGTTGTAAGAGTCGATTATAAGACTTCTAGTATAATAAATGCTTGTTTCTTGAATGAGATTCTTATACTTATGTAATTTCCATCGATTCATTTCTACAAATTAAGCTTGAAGTTTGAAGTTGGGCTAGAAGAAAAAAAAACATGATAAAACTGAATTCACATAGTCATAGGAACATGGAGGCAGGACTGACAGACTTACAGAGAGACGGACAGACGAATGAGATTTATCCCCTCTCGCTTTCGAGAAATAGCGGGGAACAATATACATTTATTGACTTAGTTCGAGGGCAACATGCGTTTTGTCGGACCCAAGAACCAAACTGTCTGCCTGAGGCCGTTACGCCGAAGGCAGACAGTTTGGTTGGATCTAGCTAGGGTCGACAAAATGCATTTTGCCCAAGAACACAGTCAATAAATGTTTTGTTATACCTTTCATTTTATTTTTTTTATTTTTTTTGACATACATGAATGTGTTTTGTACACTCACTTTGTACTGTCTAACTTCGGGTCCGTCACTTTTGAACACCAGCGTATGAAATGAGATAAAGCTTCGCCCACTCTGTGACGTTAGCTGTCCAAAATCTCATCGACCGGTCCAACATCTCAATTAGCGGCCCAACATCGATTTTTTTATGCCCGCTCAGCAAAACATTAAAAATGTTAGACTTTTTTCGCATAGATTTATATGGGAACAAACTTTTAAAGGTATAACAATAAAAATTATGACTTCAATACCGAAGGTTAAAAGTTTTTCAAAAGTGGGTCGAACTCAAGGGTCAAAGTTAAAGTGTCAGAAATAATTGAATCCATGGAAAGGTTTTCTAACATTGGATACACATCTATCAATGAATACTATCGAAAACATAGCTACTTTATCCTCGTGCCCCCTTCATAAAAAACTTCAGACGACTTTTGGTGGTTGACACTCCTCTCCCCCCTCAACTTGAAATGAATAACTGTGACCTCATCCCAAGAAATGAGATGTTTTACGTTTTCATATTTTTATTTTTAAGCCCCCGCAATCATAGATTCAGGGTATACAGTTTTTGTCCTGTCCATCTGTCTCTCTATCTGTCTAGCTCTGTTGTCCGTAAAAACTTTAAACTTGCCCATAACTGTTGAGTCGGTGGGTCTATGGCTTTCTTATTTCACAGATATATTACTTATAAAATAACCTATCTTCGTTTACCACCAAATTTGACAACTTCACCTTGACCTTGGAGTTTGACCCACTTTTAAAACAATAACAAATTGTAACCATGGCCATAACTTTCGAACAGTTGGTGCCGTGGCTTTTATTCTTCACATGTGTATTCACTGTGACAAGACCTTTCAGTGAGCATAAATCTATTTGACCTTTTGACCTTAACCTTAGAATTTGACCCACTTTATAAAAACTTTGTTTAACCCTGACCATAACTTTTGAACAGTTGGTACTAGGGCTTTCATATTTCGCAGGTTTATTCCTTGTGACAAAATCTTCATTTGATTCCAACAACTTTGACCTTTTGACCTTGCCTTTGGGGATTGACTTGCATTTGAGAAAGTTCAATCCTTGCCACAAGATGTCATACGGGGGCATCACTGTTTTACAAATACGTCTCTTTTTTTCTTCATGACATGTACAGCTTAATATATTATTTGGGATACTATCAAATTCTTTTCCTATAAATTTTTATTCATAAAGGTGATTCAGAACAATTTCAGTTTAAATTTTATCCGGTCTTAGGAACCAGACATCCATAGGCCAAGAACTATGGTTACTGTTGGAAAATTCAGGTTCCAGTCCAAATTTTTTCAAGAATTTCACAATAAAATTCCCACTCTCTTTTCCTCTATGTGCCATAAACTCCATTAAAATATAATCTACATTTACATGATTGAAGAATTTATATGCTCCTCTTAAAACATTCGCCTCAAAAGATTCTACATCCATTTTGATTACGACTCTTCCATAAAATCTGTAGATTTCCAAAAGATCGTCCAATAAAATTGCGTCGATGACTAAACTGTCACTTCCTGTTGAAACACCTATACGCTTTACAAATGTTCCACCAACATTAAGATGAAATTTTCCAAGTGATACCTTTTCTCTTCTGAATGACAACACGTTGTGAATTATCGACATTCTGTTTTGTAAATGATTTATTTTCATTGAGGCACAAAGCCGAGCGGTATTGTCCCTTAACGCATCTACTGCAATTACAGGATTACCAAGTTCCGCCATAGTCAGAGAAAATGCTCCGACATTCGCTCCTATATCAAGAAATATCATCGAAGGGTCCGACTTCAGAATTCTGTGAATTCTCTGTATGTGATGCTCTTCCCACTTTCCTTCATTTATTATTCTTCCCGATACCCATTTATCAATGGATGTGGGATACACAAATATTGAAGGAGACTCTTCCCACTTCAGCTGCGCGCGCACAAAATTATCACGTGGCTTACAGTTCTCGTCTTCGACATACCAAATTCCATCTTCATTTGTTAAAACTTTCCCAAAAGTGTCTTCGTCAGACAAGAATTTTCTTTTACCACTCAGAGCTTTTGAACACCAGTAAAGAACAAAGCATCCTAAAATGGTGATAGTGAAAGTAAATATTCGATAATGAAGTTTCATGATAAATCATTTTCTATCCATTATGAAATATGTTCAGACTAATTTAATCCAATACTATTGAAGAGTTCCGTGAAATACATTTTCATCACGCTTCCAGATGACGGTGTGATGGTTCATGTAAAGTGTACCTTGAAAAAAGAACAATATAAATGATTTTTTTTTTTTGTTTTGAAAACGCATGGAGTCTAAAATTCATATAATACTCAAACTGCCTTGAATTCATTGAAAGCCCTAACTCTTTATCAAAAACCAAAAGTACATGTAGGAATTAGCTTTCTTCATCAACAAACAATGCAAGCAAAAAAAAAAAACAAACAAACAAAGGATCGAGCAGAAAAGAATAACCTCGATACCACAATAATGTATCATATTGTTGAATACTTTTTGTTTTAAATCTTTTAACATAAACTTAAACAAACCGCAGTTTAAAATAGGAACAATTAATAGCATTCTGTGGACCGCTTTAAGGTTTTCAGTGTATAATGAAGGGATTTTGAACAATTTTGAATCTTATAATTTTTAACTAGCTAGTTAAATATGCAATACACGATGTGCTACAATGTATAATGCTAAGAGAAATAACTCTTGCGGACAAAAAAGCGTCCCAAAAGTTTTACATTCGGAATTTATCTTTCTTTTTTCCCCTGGATTTTGCAGACATTTAATGAGAAAGAAATCCTCTGCCTAACTACATTATAACATTTTTAGATACAGCATTTTAGTCAGGCAGTCGATAATTGAATCTATATAGGGATATCACATCCTTCATGTACATGTCAGAGGAAAGAGAGAAAAGAGAGAGAGAAAGAGAGAGAGAGAGAACTTACCTTTTCCTTATCGATTATCAAAATATAAAAATATAAGTTCACTCGACTGGTAAGGATTATTGTACTTAATAATATCTGTTACTGTTTTCAAAAGGTATTAACTTGCAAGCTAAAGAAAAGTGACGGATTCCAACGATATGAAAACAGCAGACATGTTTACATACTATCTTAGGACTAAGAAACGTCTTAAGATATACTTACGACATTTCTTCTAAGTGGGGTTTTCGAAAGTATCCTAACTTAGGAATGTTCTTAAGAATAATCTTAAAGTTAAGACAGCTTTTGACATATCTTAAGTCTATCTTAAGCAAAAATGGCCGCATTACAGTAATATGAAATATATAAGTGCTAATTTTAGCAATGTCTTGTGTTTAATCTAACGAGGGTATTCAGACACACCTATAGAAAAAACACATAATACACAAAATACACCATACTGAAACCAAGCGCCTTTGGTTGTTGCTGACTCGACGAAATCGTCCTATCAGACGTGACAGAGTATTTATTGATAATCCTCTTGACTACCTTGATGGCGAAGCTATAATAAAAAGATATAGGCTTTTGAGACCCTTAATCCATGATTTATGTGAACAATTTCAAAATGATCTCAAACGCCCTACTATGAGGAAATCTATACTCTACTCAGAAACTGATAGCATGAAATACCATGTGTATTTTTCGTTATATACCTCCCCCCACCCCATCCCCCCGATGTTAAATTGCATGTCTGCATGCAGCTACTTTCCAAGAATATATCCATGGTTAGAATTCTTATGACATTCAATGCCTCAGGAAGATGCACGACATACATAGTAAGAGAGAGTTTGCATGTTGCTATTTTTTCGTTGACCCCACAGGTGTTGATACCACCCTCTATACCAATTTTTTTTCCTGCGTAGGATTTACTCGGGGGGGGGGGGGGGGGGGGGGCTCCTCCAGTTTTCGCTGCCTCCCTCCGATTTTGCGCTGCCTGCTATTTTCGTTTCAGTCATGTAATATATTATTATTTATATTTATAGATTGTAAAAAATCAGTTTTTTTTTTATTTTTTACCCTTTTAATATTTTCATTACGATGACATAAGGATATATGCACGTGAGTGCATGGGGACATCTGATATTTTGAAAACACGGAATTTTTCTTTTTTAGAATATTTTTTTCTCTTTTTTCTTCTTATCGATGGCAAGTTTGTTTTTTTTTCGGGTATTGTAGTTACACTTCAATCATATAAATATATAGTAAATAGTCAAAGAATATTATAGTTGACAGAGATATTTCATTTTACATCGAATCGGATTTATTTTAACTGTCAATCAAATTACTGATTAGCAATCATCGCAATAAAAAAAACAGCATAGTACTTTAACATAGTCATTCCCTTCGGATACAATTATTTCTTTAAAGAGAGAGAGAGAGAGAGAGAGAGAGAAGCTATAGAGATTAGTGTCACCGGGTTTGACATTCAAAAAAACACGGCAGCCACTGGGCGTACTACCTTTAACTTTGTGCAAGCTTATGGACACGATGAGAAATTTTCATGGGTGAAATATTTTGTATGTTGTGAAGCAGAAACTATCCTTGTACAAAAGAGATTTTATCATTTTTGGAACCTTATACCTATAATTTGATTTTCCGTCTCTGCTTTGCTTCGTGTTCTCCGCGTCACGGCCCTAAGTGTCAATGTTACAGTGTATCAAATTTCATGTCTTGTTAAATTGTAAGGACGCTATAGTCATTTTTTTTGACTTACCAGATTTTGCAAATTTTACTGTAAGTACATGTAATAAATTGATTTTAACAAAACTACTGTGTACATTAGTACTGTGACATATGTTTTCATAAAGCATGCAGAGGCCTTCTATGCGATGATGCTTTTGAACTATAATATTTAATGCCATTCATTCATGCAGTCGTGATTATATGTTATAAGTCTTAATTTTGTATTATTTGTATTCATATACCCCAGTTGGGGTCATTGTCTTAAATAGAATCTTGAAACTTGGTAAGGATGAGCCAGGGGACAATTCACATTGTCTAGAACACACATTTTTGGTCCGGTATTTTTTCTTAACGCTAAATGAAACAAACTTGGACGACAAAAGTCCTTTGTGACGTACCTTCAATCCTCAAAGAACTCAACGGGCCTGCCATCTGTCAGTTAGCTAGCAAATGAACCGATACACATGTAAATTGTTTAATTATATATTTAACAGATGTTAATTACAAGAGTATATTCAAAGTAATTTACAACAAGGAACCTCCTTGTCATATTGAATAATCTTCATGTACATGTAATCATTCAATCGAAATTTATCATACAATGTTTTTCCACCTCGTACTCGAGATTTAATATCTATAATCCTTGACATACAGTTCTCTCTCTCTCTCTCTCTCTCTCTCTCTCTCAGAAGTGAGACCTCATAAACATTTTAATCACCTCAAAGATGCTACTCGCTAAGGTCGCCGTGCAACATTACAACAAATAATAACATCAGTTGTATCTAAAATTTAGAAATATATTTTTAAAAAGTCAAGATTTAACTAGAAGAGAAAACACTTTTTGCAGTTGACGTGCATTATACATCTTATCGGGACCCTCTCCCTTGGAATTTGTAGAGTTGGTAAATGTAAAATACTAAACCAATTTGGAAACGCGGACATGTGTGAAATTGGTATGAAAAAGTCATACAGATAAAGCTTTATAAAAGTCAACCCTCCCAACCTCTTACCCACCACGAAAATGGGTTTGAAAAATGCATTAAATATTTTGAATGACCTGAAATTTTGCCATGAAATTTTGGACAATTCTGTAATGAAGAAGTTTAAAAGAAGGAAAGAAGAACTTTGTATATATTTCGATTTTCTAAAATAAGGAAGTAGGTTAAGAGATGTCGATTAAATTATAAAAGTAATAATATAGAATTATGTATTCAAAAATTGTTTGTGATTCTAAAAGTTACATTTCTCGGTCATTTGTATAAGCGATCTTCTCAGTAAAGCAAAACTGGTTTTACAATTTTGCTTCTAAGGTGAAGAACAGTACTGTAGTCAAAATGGGGACCGTAACATCAGTCATCCAAAACATCTACAGGAAAAATAAACAACTTTAAAAAACGGAATCAAATTTCAGCTGAATCTTCAATGCAAGTACACCTTACATGACCCTTTGAAGGTGTCATGTTTTGCATGGAATTGGGGTTGATTTCTTTTTCAGCTCTCAGATTTCTTTAAATTCTAGTATCAATTATACAGCCTGTTCAAGCAAAAGTTAACGCACAGTCGCACAGTCGCCTAAATTTTACGCATAAAAGTATAGAACTTACAATCAACTGCTTTTTTTTTAGATATTATAAACGCTAAATACATGTATAACGACACAAGAAGCCACTGGGCCACACCGAGCACCTGAGCACTGTGGCTAGGAAAAAAGCAAAATCAGTTCAGCTTTGAAAAGCTTTCAAAGTTGTCCAAGACTACCCTTAAAAATTGGGGGAGGGGGTATGATTTGATCAAACTTGAGTTGAATCTAAACTGAGGGTGCTTAATTATACACATTTCTTTAACCAACTGTTTTTTTTTTATCCGTTTGAACTTTCACTGTTGTTCCACCCTACCTCGGTGGCACCCTACCCATGATTAAATCAAACCTGGATCTACACTATCTGAGCCTTTCTGAGGATACTTCCATATCAAATATATGACAAATCATAGCTAGCTATGCTGTTCTTTAGAAGATTTTTCCTTTGTATACCTATGCAAACCTATGATCAACATAGATTCCATCTCTCCGGGCTCAGTGGTTCTTGAGAACATTTTCAAAAGATGTCATTAATTTTTTACTCTTCCCCTTGAAAGCTTGGAAAGGCGTGGTTATTCGTTTGGTCAAACTTGAATCCCCTTTACCCAAGGACACTTTATGGCAATTTTGGTTTAAATTGGCCCTATGGTTCTTGAGAAGAGGTCGAAAAATGTAAAGAGTTTACAGAGGGACGGACAGCTTGACAAACGGATAGACTGCTTGACAGACGGACGGACAGACACCTAGACGGACAGCTAGGACAGACAGACGGACAAGCAGAGGGACGCCGGAAAAAAAATTGAGCAGAAAAGCTCACTTGATCCTTTAGCTCAGGTGAGCTAAAATGAAAGAAATTTCTATACAATTCAATTATTATGATTTTCAAAATTTTATTATGTCTTCGTTAGCAGTTTGATATATATGCAGCATCAATGCGTCTTGAACATGGTTATATATACATTTCAGGTCCAATTGCTTTTTTCTTAAAGCTAGATGAAAGACACTTGTTGATTGTTTTATGTTATATTTAACATTGTTATACATTTAAAAAATCGTTCCTATACAAATCTATACGAAAACAATTCTAACATTTCTAATGTTTTGCTGAGCGGACATAAAAAAATCGATGTTGGACCGCTGAATGAGATGTTGGACCGGTCGGTGAGATGTTAGACCGCTTACGTCACAGAATGGGCGGAGCTTAATCTCATATTCATTCGTTGGTGTTCAACAGTGACGAACCTGATGATACATCACAGAAGGCAGTACAAAATACATGTATGTCAAAAAAAAATAAAATAAAATAAAATGTATAACAAAACATTTATTGACCGAGTTCTCGGGCAAAATGCGTTTTGTCGACCCTTAAACTAAACTGTCTGCCTGAGGCCGTCAGGCCTCAGGCAGACAGTTTGGTTCTTGGGTCCGACAAAACGCAAGTTGCCCGAGAACTCAGTCAATAAATGTATGATATTAAATTACAATAGTATATTCTAAGTAACTTACAACAAGGAACCTCCTTCTCATAACGAATAATCTTCATGTCCTCATTCAATCATTTTTTTCATACAATGTTTTTCCAACTCGTACTCCAAATTAAATATCTATAATTCTTGACATTCAGTTCTCTCTCTCTCTCTCTCTCTCTCTCTCTCTCTCTCTCTCTCTCTCTCTCTCTCTCTCTCTCTCTCTCAGAAGTGAGACCTCGTTAACATTTTACTCACAATTCGAATCCCAAGCTACATTAATATTTTTAAACTATACATTAAGGTTCATTTACCCTCTTCTCACTCATATAAAATGTTGCTTGAACCTTAATGATTTCCAAATGAAATGTATTTTATTAGTAAATTACAAACAATTACAGCATAGCTTGCGGGGCGGAATTGGAAAACAAAGACACCTCAACTTGGCAAATCTATATAGGAATAATAGACATTCTAATGCAATTGTTTTGTAAAACACTTTTTCATTGGCTAATGCACTGATGTTTAAAGCAGTAAAATGAGCATTAACGAGCGTGAAAGCTTTTTATGTCATAATAGAGCGACGCAAAAACACAATTAATGTAACAAAATTCATCAAAATAAGACATAAACAACAAACAAAATGCATGGATTGCATGTATCTCTTTTATCAGTTAAGTATTTTAATAAACGCTTAAGTACGTTTGACAAAATCATTAAGAGTTACATGTATCTCTTTTATCAGAGTATTAATAAACCTTAAGTACTTGACAAAATATGGCCTTTGCTTTGAAATATGCTCCATTCAACATTTTATCATTTAATTCTTGATAGTCTACTAAAAAGACTGCCTTTTGCAGTTCTTCTCTTATTTCTCTGTCAGTTACAAATGAGAAATTTAAATAACAATCTCCCATGTAGAGTTGTCGTTCGTACTCTCTCAATATCCCATACAGAGTTGTGGTTCGTTACTCTCTGAATGAGTGGGCCAATCGAAGAGGGTGAATTAATTAATAAATATCCTATACTATTCGTGTATAATCATGAAGACACTCTTTTAAACATGACTTCGCCGGACCATGTAGCATGGTTCTTATTAGAATATTCCGAAACTAAGCTATGATTTTTAAGGAAGTCCACTATAAAATTCCCGCTGTTTTTTCCTCTATGCGACACAAACTCCATAAGTAAATAGTCCACCTGAACAGCTTTAAAGAATTTCTCAGCTCCTTTTAGGACATTGGCTTCAAAAGTCTCAACATCCATCTTTATGACTGCTCTTTTAATATTGAATATTTCTAGCAAATCATCTAAAAGAATTGCGTCAACTACTAGTGAATTTTGGCCTACTTTATCTAGTCCCATTTTTTCCAGTTTCTTAACATATGTTCCTCCAATGTTCTTTTTATGAGTTCCAAGAGATACTTTTTCTCGTTGATATGACAACGCATTGTGAATGATAGTCATGTGACTACCTAAATTTCCATCCTGGACGGAGCGACACAGGCGAGCGACATTTCCCTCAAGGGCATCCACAGCTATGACATAGCGACCAAGTTTGGCAACAGTCAGTGAAAAAACTCCCACATTGGCACCGATATCCAAAAACACAACTTCTGGTTCGTTTTTCAGTATATCGTGAATTTTTCTAACAAGATTTCCTTCCCACATTCCTTGTCGAATGATATTGCCGGAAACCCACTGGTCTTCCTGTGGTGTATACACATGAATAGGAGTTTGTTGTGGTCCACGAAGCTGCGTACGAACAAATTTCTCCGAAGGATCACAGAATTTATCCATTTTTTGCCAGCCTGAGTCACTTCTAGTGATTACAGTACCCCAGAATTCAGGCTTAGTTAACAATAATGAGTTTGAACCCGAGGGACTAATTTTTTGAATGGGGTCATTATTCGGAGTTTTGAAATCTGTCTTTTCTTTTGTATTTACTTGTAATTTCACATTTTGTTCAAAACTCTGCCGATTAACAACAACGTTCTGTGATGACGGCGTTCTGTTTGTCGCCCTGAGTCCAGCAAAGGAAGAAGTGTACAGGAATCCGAGGATGAATCCCACCAACATAGACAAAATGGCGATGTATAACGTGTGTCTGTCTCGGATCATGATGAATATCGTTACTGGAAAAATTAAATAAATAAATGAAATTCTTTTGAAATTTTGTACATTTGTCAAAGATGGCGAAAAAAATCAAGTCTCAACCGGGACTCGAACTCAGGTTCTTTATAATTGATGTACCGTGCCAGTGCTCTCATCCACTGAACAATTTAGTACAATTCTCAGTTAACCTAGGTCTTTCAGAATTGCTTGGTATTCTCGACGTTACATAATTAGCGTCTGAAATTTACACAGCCTATCATTGCAGCCCGGAGGACCGGGCTGCTCTATACTTACAAGTTTAAGTGTTGGTGTATGGGGATTGGGGTGAGAGTAGTTATTTAGAATTAAAGGTTTTCTAAACATTGAAAAGATTGTTAATCAGGATGTTCTTTCCGTTTATAAATTACGAGATACATAATATATTTACTTCCATGAAGTGAATCTGTAAAAATGTATATGTTTTTCACATTTAATTTACAAAGTTGCTTATCATTTACTATCGAAAAACGACAGGTCCCCGTTTTTTAGAACATCAAATTTTACTTCTCGGATAAAAACGTACTCTGCACAATTCATGTTTTATATTCTAAAATTGAAATCTAATACATTTTTAAATATAGGTGATGCGTGTGTCTAACTTCAATTTATATTTTATGCAGCCAAACTTTACTTGAGGAATTGATGAAGTTTAAAATTGTATCGTTTTTGATTGATTTTTATCCGACTACAAGTTTTCAAAATATTCACGACTATCGTCTCCATCAATAATACGCATGCCTTTTCACACATATCGAAGCGGTTTGATGAGCAAGACTCATTTTCATTGTTTACTTCAAATATTTCCCGGGCGACAATTGATGGTTACATCAATGTTTTCTTGTTTACTGTTGAAATAAACATTTAGGCGAATGTCAGCGAGTGTACCCACCAGTGTACCAATGATCCAATGATAGCACTTCGCACGGCAGAGAGGTGGGGCTTAATAAAGTCGTCTCATTGTTATCAAAAACAATTAAGAGTTGCTGATGTTATTAATTTCTTAACCAGTGAGAATCTGTTTGCCATTTGATAGACGTTTTTACCTATAGTATCGAGAAAGTCACGGCCTGAAAGTCTCTAACTGAGAATCGTACCAGACCCGATATATTAAAAGATTTTCATGCACCTGTCAACACGGTGACGGACATATATCCCCTCATCGTAGAGATTTGTCCTCGAATGCTATGAGCTAATTTAAAAAAAAAATATGCGAATATATATTATAAAAGAATAGAATATACAAATACAAATACAAATATTTTATTGGCACCAACACAATTACAGTAATTGGTAAAGGCCCATAGAAAACATAGTGATAAGCATGAAAATACAGTAGAACACAACTAGAATACAAACAATTGGTGTAGCAAATTATGTATTATACTCATAAAATACTATATAAATACATACGATTCAGTTCAATGTAGTTACTCATTTATAGCTAAAATATTTTTTCTTATATCAGATATTTGACATAAAAATGATGAGAATATTTTAAGAACCTTTTTACAATTAGTTTTCATCAATAGTTTTAACAATTTGTCATTATTATGGATTGTTTGGTTCAAGTTAGGAAAAGTAGATAGTTTTGTTTTGAATATGTTTCTCTGTGCTTCATATTTTGGACATAGCAAAATGAAATGTTTTTCATCCTCAATATCAAGGTTTTGACATACTTTACATATCCTATTATTTTTATTAATTTCAGCATATCTACCTTTTTCAATTTCTAAGTTGTGTGCACTTAACCTAATTTTTGCTAAAAATGATCTATCATGTAGTGACTCTAGTTTGTCAACATAATGAGCACGTTTATTATCAAGACAAAAGTTCTGATAAAAAGGCAGTTTTGAGTAGTTCATTATATTTGCATTTTGTTCTTGTAATATTTGATCATGAATGCGTTGTTTAATAATGCCAAGCACTGGTTTCATTGACATATTAAAATTTGTTAAATAAGAAAATCCTAAGTTATTAAGACAAGTTTTTAGACACATAGACCATGTGTTAGTTTCTTTAGTTTTGATAAAAATTTCATGTGCCAATGTATGTTCCATTGAAATTAAATGATCAAGGTATTTGATAGCAAACATAATAATTTTTGATTTGACTGGGAGTCTCACGAGTTCAGAATAGCAGCCATTATTTGAAGTTTTGCAATGAACTCCTAAGATTTCTTTTAAAAATTTAATATGAAATTTTTCATAAGATGCTGAGCCTGAATTTTTTATGACTAAGTCAATACCCCAAACTTCGCTGCCGTAAAGCAAAATGGGGATTATCATAGTATCAAATAATTTTTCAAGCAATTGACAGGAATGATGTAAACCGAGGGATTTCTTTACCTTGAATAATGCTTTTCTGGCTTTATCAACTAACCGAGCTGCAGCAAGATTAAATTTGCCATTACATTTAAGATTTATACCAAGATAACAATATTTGTCGACAGTTTCAATAAAGATACCATTAATAGTAAAATGGTTTAAAAAGGTTTTACCATTAGAATTAAATACCAGAATTTTTGATTTGGACGTATTAATCTCCAGTTTCCAATTAAAACAATAATTTTCAAGAGTATTAAGGCTACATTGTAGACCATCAGGACTACTTGACAACAAAACTAAGTCATCTGCATATAACAAACAGTGTATATGAATAGCGGGTTTAGTATTTTGGCGCCAAATGTCATAGGTCGCGACTCGAGCTCAGAACCTCTGGCGTGCTGAATTATCTGTTCGCCCGATCATGACAAGGGGCACAGGGCAGGTAATAACGATAATCAACAAGGATGTTTACTACTCTATGGCGCTTGATCCACCTCTAAATTTAATTTTTATTCATTTTTTTTTTTGTTTCAGGGATACGTGTTTGCTTTATTCCCGATTCGTAATTGTCTTAATGGACTTTTGTATCTGTTTAATGTTTTGGTGACGGTGATCTCCATATTTTACTTTAAAGGGGCTGGGTGGTTGTGGCCATTTTTAGACTACTAGTATTTTGATCTCCTTTAGAAGAAGAGCTCCATATGAAGACATGATATTAAAATGATCAAATTTTAAAACTAAAATTCATTAATATTTTCTTTGCCAATTGATAGTTGACAGCTCATATTTCTAAAAAAAAATTAAGTTACAAATGGAAATCTAGTGGTTAATTTGTGGACGCCATGGCTTCCTTAAAAACCGGATTCTATAATTGTGTTTATTCAGTAATATTCAGAAATTTGTTTCCATAACTAATTGAAGAAATAGGATGTATATATATCCACAACATAATGAGCTGTCTCGTCGCCCAATATGTCCCAGTTTCTTGCAAAGATTCTTTATGATTTAACATGTTTAAGGTCAGACGATACGTTCCTCAAATATCTGTTTTGTATGTTTTTGTTTTGTTTGAAAAATATTCAAAGTTTAAGTAATATTCTGATTTCTAAACCAGTTTCCAATAATTTTAAAATAAATGAAACACTGAAAAGTTTCAAATTTTGGACCATTAACTTTTCCCCCAAAAGGAATATATAAGAAACACTACCCTCTGCTACATGTATCATGCACAAATGCCTGGTATGGTACCTCAATTTTTCGTGAATAAACATATCAAAGAAGCAATACTTCAATGGCAAAATCTTGGAAAAATTTATATATTATTGATTTAAACATATTATAATTTAATTCTGGTTGTAACGCTGTATTTGATTGGATAAAAAATTCACTTTATATTGTATAAAATGGGTTGCCTACGTCACAATGACTTGCGTCAAAAACGTATCAATCCGCCTGACGTTACATTCAAATTTTGTACAAACTGAAGTCATTTTGTTGGAACAATCATCTTTTTTTCTTACATCAAATGAATGAAAATTAAATTATAAGGAATGAATTTAATAGCTGCCCATTTTATACTATAAACTGGGTTGGAACAGTTTACGCTTTTAATAAATCGCTTTATAAAGCGTAAACTGCCCCAACCCAGTTTATACGTATAAAATGGGTAGCTATTAAATTCATTCCTTAATTATTGAAACAAAATCAATTGGATTGGACACAAGTTATGCCGGCGCCAACTTAGAATGTCCTCTCGAATATATCATTGAGGAACTATCAAATGTCATTAACACAACCGTAACATTTAACATTAAGATTGACCGTTCTTTACTTGCTACATGTCTACACTGTTGGACTGTTAGCAGACAAAAGAATGCGGCCGGGGCTTAAGGATTATGTTTAAACTGTTGTAAATACTGTGACCTTTTCTTTTGTTCCTTTCTTGTACCAGTACTTTGTATCCATTCAGGGATAAATGAAAAATAAACAATAAGAAAGCCGAGTATAAACTTGTCTGGGTAGAATTTTAAGAGGTGTTTTATTAAAATACAGTGACCATTAAATAGAACTGTAAAAATTAGTACTCAGATCATGCAGTTATATATAACAACTGCATTTTAGACGGACTAAGATGTTAGCTAGGAGCCTCCCTACTCTGCACACAAAAGAGTTTTGATTCTCGAATATTTTTCTGCATTTAGAGTGATCTACCTTTTGATTTAATTTCTTTAAAATAATATAGAAATTAACAGTATATTACTCAATTTGAAACCAATTCAAGTATTCGCAACATTTTAACAGGCCAAGATAAATTCATTGAACACGTTAAATACGTTTCTTTGTGCCATTGGCCATCAGTCTGTGCATCCTTTTTGCTATCATCTTGATTGTTTTTGGAGTCTTGCTACACAGGAAAAAGTGGACATGTTTTTTTTTCTCCATGGTAATAAACAACGGTGTTTTCTGTGAACTGATACTGTGTTGCGTTTGAACAATTTTCCTGGAGGTAAAATTCACGTATCATATGGTGAAAATGAATAAAAACCTCTATACAATTTATGTTATTTTTCTCAATGTCCAAAAAAAAAACAAAACAAAACAAAAAACATTTTGCATTGGTGTAAAGAGGTTCCTTAAGGGGGG